ACCCATCCACACACACACACACACACACACACATATATATATATATATGTATACGCACACACACACGCACAAGCACACACACACATACTCACACAGACGCACACGCACACGCACACACACAGACGCACACGCACCCCACACACGGACACACACACACACACAAACACATACACACATATATATATACCTTAGCACCGCGTACCCACGTGTGTAATATACCTGAACATACTCTAATACATACACTTGCGTACACACACTCTTTCGCCGCCGTAGTACTGGCTGAGGATACCCATCCGCGTCGAAAACAGCGCCGCTCCCACGGACACACCGATCGACGACGACATAGAAGACTTTGAAGCGGCTGAGCGTCCCTGGCGCATGTGGAACCAATTCAGGTCCTTGTGTGACCACTCGAATAAGCTTAACGTTTGCTTAGAGCTCACAGAAGACCTGCCCTGTACAGGCGATGCGTTGGACCGGTGGATGGGTGAGCCGGTCAAGGCGGTGGCTTTGGACACAAAGCTGTTTATGACCGATAAAGAGGGCAATCCGGTCCTGTCTAAGGCGCACGAGGTGTGTGGGTGTGCTCGTGCGTGTCGATGTATGCTGGTGGGTAGGGGTTGTAGGTGTTGCTCAGGAATGTCCCGTTGTTGATACATATTCTGCCTCTGTAGGTTGGTGGTTTGATGCGGGTAGAACTTTGTTATGTGTATATATGTTGCAAAGCAGAGGTTCACAAACATAAAAACGCGTTTCTTAGGGAGCGTAGCTTGTATATCGTAGTTCAAGCGCATTGACCCCACGACGGGAGAGTTCGGTCAAGGAAAATTTTCGCAAGTACAAAATCCTATCGAGTGTACTGACATTTTCAATGCACAAATGGCCTTGTCATCGTGTGCTAGTCACGAGTCTCTGTAGAATACCCAGGTTGCACCCCATAGAAGGTCTCAGGGCATCACTCCAGTATATCTATCTCCCCTTCAACCGCACCACAACTGGCTGACTCCCATACGCCGTGAGATGCGACTCAATTCGCTCAATGGCTTCCACACTTGCACTTGTCACAGAATGTTCTGCGGAGATTTATCAGCTTTGACGCGCAGATTCTGTTGACCGGACAAGTGCAGCATAGCGATGGTGTAGAGCCGTATGTACACTACCTACAGATGCTCAATGAACGGACCCGGACCAGCCCTGACTTTGCCGAATACGAGGTGTGGGTCTAATAGGTTATCTATATACAGTACATCGCCTGTCATTGCTTTATTTTCCCCTTCTACACTATGTTTCAGTAATGTAGTATCTTCTATATATATATATATATATATATATATACATATGTATATAATATATGCACACACACACATATATAATATATATATATATATTAACTATATATATACGTAATATATATATATATATAGTATACACACACACACACACAACACAACACACACACACACACACACACACACACACACATACACACACACACACACACATACACACACACATATATATATATTTGTATATACGTGTGTTTGTACTTACATACATACATACACACACATATACACACGCACATACATACACACACATATACACACGCACATACATACATACATTTACATACATAACCGACGAGATACCGCTTGTATGTATAGCCCACGGGTCCGTATTTGTTATTATCCTAATTCGCGTTTGGCAAGTAAGTAATAACGCCATCTCGCATGGGTTATCCTACATTTTATATCACATACTCATCTCCCCCCCGTTCCCTCGACTATAATCTACAATGCAAAGGGTAATGGCTACGAAGACTATCTACAGGCACCCTTGCAGCCACTGATGAACAATCTGGAATCAGGCGTCTACGCTGTATTTGAGCAGGATCCTGTCAAGTATCGCGAGTATCAGGAGGCAGTGTTCCGCGCACTGTGCGACCGCGTGCCCGCTGAGAAGAAGGACGAGGTCACAACGTAAGTAAGAACTGGTTGCTAGGTTACCAGAAGTTGCTAGGTTACTAGAAGATGCTAGGTTACCTTCTGTTGCTAGGTTACCAGAAGGTGCATGTGCTGTATCCCATGCATCTACGGTACACGGTACATTCCTGATTATTACATTGAGGTGTGTTTGTATCTGTATACAGTAGTTACGAGTCTTCCTGACGAGGATGATTTTAACGGGTTAAGTCTACTCTACGTTCCGGAGGATGCTGATAAATGTATTTAAACTACTCCCCTATATGTGTTTTGTGCCTTCCGCAGCAGATCCATTTATATACCACGTTTTTACTATACATAAACTATGATTTTGCTATATATAAACACGGCCATCAATAGTCCGATCAGGCATATTTTTAATTCCTTCTCTAGAGGGTCATGATATAAACGAAGTTTCTGCTATACACAAACTGTGTTTTCGCATGGCTTCACTTATAGTCCATCCTATGCAACGGACAGTCCTGTTGCATTAGCGGCAGTGGTGTCGCAGTGGTGTGTGTTTCACGTAGTCACGGAAAACAAATATTCATTCTCGAGTTTTAAACGATGTATATGTATATTGTATTCAGCATATGCATACATTGTACTGTGTCGAGTACGTGGGAATAAAATATTTTCCACCCGCATGGAAATGTACAGTTCATTTTATACCCACACGTGCAGCGTGATAATAGTTGGTGTGCGTGATTATAAAACTTTCTCACTCACATATACAAACAGCCTCACCCACACATACAAGCGTTTAACTTATTCTACACCCAAACCTTCACTATATAAACATCCTCACTCACACATACAAGCGTTTAACTTATTCTACACCAAAACCCGCACTACATAAACATCCTCACTCACACATACAAGCGTTTTTCTTATCGTACACCCACACCGGCAGCGTGATAATGGTGGTGGGTGCCGGACGAGGGCCGCTCGTGCGCATGTGCCTTAAAGCCAGCGAGCGAGCCAACCGCAAAGTAAAGATGTATGCAGTGGAGAAGAACCCCAACGCCATCATCACGCTGCAAGGATGGAAGGCGGATACATGGGGCGATAAAGTGACGCTGCACGCAGGGGACATGCGTGACTTTAAGCCCAACGAGAAGTGTGACATCCTGGTGAGTGAACTTCTGGGATCGTTTGGGGATAACGAGCTGTCGCCAGAGTGTCTGGATGGTGCTCAACGGTATCTGAAAGGTGCGATTTGGTATATATA